ATCCCTATTAGTATGCATGAATTTTAAATAACACTGGCGACTTGTATCTAAAGGTAAGTATGGGAGTTGGTTGCTGTTCCTCAAGCTGTTATATCTTACCGCTGACGTTTCCTCACCAGGTTCGACTATGAAAAATACTCAGTCAAATATCAGAGTTGGGACAGTAAAAAAGATACTTCCATTATACATTTTCTTGAGCTCTGTTAGCTTTCTTCGCTATTTTACAAATTCTTTTGGACTATTTGTAGCTTTTTGGCTTGTTACTTCAGGAGAAATGTTCCGAGCCATCACGGACAATAATTTCAGCCAACAGTTAATTTGAGAACATAACAAAAGCTTCTCAAGTTTATCTTCGTTTTCGTTGGCTATTTCATCATGATGAAGTACACCTCAAGATCAGTCAGATTTCAATGATTCTAGAAAACTAATACCAACACTTTTTTCTAACTAACAGTGCCCAACATTGTGAAGAAATGGTTTTAGGAGTTGGAAGTTCTTTTTTTTAACAGTAGTAGTTGTTAGAGTGGCTAGTGTTAAAAACAAAGTTAGCAGAAAGCAAATGGAAGTGATTCCTCGTAATTCCCATCAGTCGAATATCTATGCTCGCTTTGTGCATGCATGCATTTGCAATAAGACGAGCATGTCCTGCTGTTCGGAAAAGGTTTTCTGATAAACTTCCATTTGGTGTTCTTCTAAGTACTGTTTACGTGGTTTACAAACAGTAGGTGTAAACTAACTCCGATATGTGATCTGTAATTTCTCATTTATAAAACACAAAATAATCGAGCAAAGAATATGCTTTTCGATAAATTCCTCTTCTGGGTCTACAATTATAGATATATTTGTTTATATACACAGAATATTCTAGATTAGTAGTCAATAACAATATTAGGGTTTTTTAAACAATATCGATTTGTAAAGTAAGATCTATGGAATTACAGTTCATTAAAGATGCTTAAATTATAATAATAATAAAGATATAGTGGCGAATAGAATATCAGCTAAAATTAGGAAAATTCCACAAAAATTGAAGATCATTCAAACCTAGACGGCCAAAGCAACGATAATGTCTGAACCAATTTCTTTTGGATGCACAAATTAGGCTTGTTAATGTGGATCCCCACAGCCTCAGCAATATTTAGTAGTCGAACTCTTAAGGCAAAATTAGGATTTGTTGGTATGCGGTAAATGACCCTGAAAGCATGATTAACGTCAATCTTGTGTTCTGTATCCACAAGATGAGATAGAATGGCGCTGCGAATAGATTTTGTTTGTCCTTTACTTAACCACACAGGGTGATGTTCGGAAATCCGTCGAGAACCAAATTACCGTTCAATCCAAACGCCCTTATGAGAATTTGTTGAATTTAAATTTTGAGTAAACTAAAGTACTCTTTATATTAGAAAGCATGATTTTATTTCTCATAAGAGCCATCACATATGAATGACTACATTAAGTTTAACTGAGAGGAAACGTCAAGAGAGAACGAATAAGAGCAGCAATGTATCGCTTTTCTTTTAGCCAAGTGGTTAGCATAACTAATCAACTAATTTTGAAGATTACAAAGCGAAAATCCTCTGCTTCACTGTCCTCTGATTTTGACGTTGAAAGTATATTCAAAAGTTCTGATGTTCTGAGCCATAGTCTTGGGTTCATTAACCAAAAAATTCCGATTTCTGAAAAGATTTTTAAGTTAGAATACGAATAGTAGTAATGCAATAATCTTCAGAGTTTGAAATTTAATTACAATAAATGTCATCATAAAGCTAAGAAACTTTGCTCGTACTCACTGTGTAAACTAGTGCTGATAAGTTAACCTTAGGTTAAAGTAGGTTTCAAAAGAATAATTACTACTTGTCCACTCGCAGACGATGTACAAGCACACAGTTTCTCTCCTCAGATGATGACTCAAGGTAGAAAATAGAGGGAAGACTAGTAGTTCAGCAAAGAGTCTCTTTTCGGCGAATTCATTTTCACAGTTGTACAGTCATAATATATATATGGTTATTTTGGATGTGTGTGTACATTGAATTTGTCAAACGAAAATACAATTAGTAAGTTTTTGGTGGAGTTACGCAATACAAATGTATTTAGAGGAATTGGATGTTTGGTGATAGAATTGGATGTTGATATAAGAGGATAATGACAAAAGTGATGGGTTGTCACAAACGACTCCTAAAGAAGACTTGCGTAATAAGATGAGTAGTTTGATGAAAGAATTGTGCTCAGCGTGTACATGAAAAAGCGTAGTAGTGTTATCCAGTTACCCACTTATCTGAGGAAGCCCACAGGACAAGGTTTCGCACCTGACCACTTCTATGTGTATGTATCAGTTCACTTATTGCTGTGGAGACAGGTGCATCGGTCGGTCGACGCGCAGCCCGTCAAAAAGGGTGAAATAACACTATCCAGCGTGGCTGGATAAAGGAATTAGTGGCTGTATAAGCAGTGCAATTGTCGAACATCTCGTCACTACTGGTCATTCCATCTCAACAAACCCCTCCTTCAAAGTAATCTACAAATTGAAAAACAACCTGCCAAAGACAATTCATTTCCGTCTTCTTTGTATTGCTGAATCCCTAGCCATTCACTTAGAAGAACCAGAACTATTCATACAGAGGAAAATTGTCCAACCACTTCTACTATCATGCTAACAACTCTGTAGATTTGACTTAACTTTTGCTTGTTTGCTTCTTTTCTAACTAATCACAACTTTTGTATTCCTTTAAAACTCTTACGTAATTCCGTATTTTATTTTGTTTCCATGTACACGCTGAGCACAAATCTTTCATCAAACTATTCATGTTATTACGCAACTCTTCTTTAACAATCGTTTGTGACAACTCATCACTTTTGTTACCATCCTCTTATATCAACATCCAATCCATCTGAACTTACTAATTGTATTTTCGTTTGACAAAGTCAATGTACACACACATACAAAATAACCATATATATTTGTGACTGTACAACTGTGGAAATGAATTCGCCGAAAAGAGACTCTTCGCTGAACTACTAGTCTTCTCTCTATTGGTTTTCGAATGGGGATTTTTCATGAATGAAGTTAGAAAATGCATGATTGCTACAAGTTTCGTACTGTTAACCTCTGAGTAAGTAATATCCCATCTCTACTCAGGTCTCCATTTGGGATTTATTTCAGTGAGATCAGAATACCAAATTAAAGATATTTTAGATGCACTCAAAGGGAAGTTTATCAAGTCGTTTTACAGTATACAGTTATTTTAATGCGAAAATGTACCGTACTCAGGACTTTTTGATTTTAGAACAAGATTTGTTCTACGTTTGGAATAAAAAAATTTTAAGAAGCAAACGAGATATAAAATGCTAATGTAAGAAGTAAATATTTAGGTCTCAAGATCAGTTTGACGAAACCATTCGTGGAAACAATGATATCATTTCATGGGTGTTGGTTGGTGCCGGTGATGAGTCACAAACAGAAACAAAACAGTTGTCCAATGTTCTCTAATATTCAGTGCTCATAAAATTGATGCTGATTTGAATTTACCATAAAATTGACCAAACCTACACAAAACAGACCTTTCTGAAATGTTTATTTCTATTTAAGTTACCTTGAAGTGAAAATTAGTCTCATTTACAGAGGTGATGAAGATATCTAACCACCACCAACAACAATCGGCGGTCACTGTCAATGGGAGAAATTTGAAAGAGGTCAACTCCGTCACTTATCTAGACAGCATCGTTTCAAATACAGGCAGAAAGGATGAGGATGTTGAAATAGGAGTCGAGAAAGCAAGAAAGACCTTCAATAATCAAAAGTCAGTATGAAACTCTACTGAACTAAACAGTAGGTGCAAGATTCAGATTTCCAACACTAGTGTCAAGTCAGTGAGGACTTCAATGTGGTTCAGTGACTTGGTGGGTGAGTCACCGAAAGCATTTTGAACAGACTTCGTACTTTTATCAACAGGTTGCTTCTCATGCTGCACACTGGATATTGGATAACCATCCATAAAGTATAAGCAATAGAGAACTCTTTGGAAGTGGACCTACTAAGAACCTATTTACCGACAAATATGACGACTAAAATGTAGACGGATCGCATGTATGCTGAGTCTACCGTTTAGTGACATTACTCGCCAAGCAATCACTCAAGAGGAAGCCGAATAGGAAGAGACGACTTAAGTGTCTGAAGGTGACATGTAGAAGGTCGTGTGCGGGAAAGCTGAGAGCTTATGAGCAGTAGTACAGTCAGCCTAAGAACAATGCAGAAAAGAGTGAAATGGAGATGTTCAACTGAAGCCTTTTGTTCCACTCAGATCATATTAGAAATACCAATAAATAATGTAGCCTAAGGAATCAGTTATTTCGACCCTGATTGTAGAAAGTAGCTTTCCCGTGTTTCAATTACTTAATCAACACAACTTTTTGTTGTTTGACTGGTTACAAATTGTGTATTTCCCAAATTTCAGTTTCTTCATTTCACCTTTTTTGAGTGTGATCCAGTGAAGAGGGTGTGGGTCTTTTATATATATATATATATATATATATGATATATTTTAAAGTCAGTGTATACATCATTTAAACAACTGAAACAATTCAGCGACAGATGAAGTATTCAGCAGTCTAACGTGTGAGAATTTAACAATTGTGCTTTCAGTTAATTTATTTTGTATTTTAATACAACTATCGGATTGGTTATTTCATCTCCAGAACATGAGTTTGCATGTGTATGCCTACATGGAGTATATGCGTGTATGTGTGAGTGATTCTTCATCGAATATTTATTTCTTAACTGATTTTATAAAATTGTCGAGTGAGTGAATTTGTTTTTTGGTGTTATTGTTGGTAATTTGGTTGCAAAAAAAAACAACAGAACAAATAAAGAAAAAGACTATTTGATTACGTAACAGGAATCACAATATAAATGCATAAACTGTTATCTTTTCCAGTATGAAGTCAAGAGAAGAAATATGTTCAGTGGGCATAAACTACTGAAACTCTGAACAAATCTATTCAAGAGAAGTCAGTCATCTTCACTAAAGAAACGTAAGTTATCGTTGAGTTTTGTTTTAATCCTTCACATTAACAAACTTCCTGAAAAATTATTTAATAACCAGATAGGATCATCATAGTTTACGGATTTTAAGGATGATGCTTAAACTTTAATTGCAATCACTGGTGAGTGCTTCAACGACCACTGTGTTGTCTGGCTTTTGATGTCTAACGTGAGAAAACTATCCATCGACTAGTTTATATGCTGTTAATATATGTTGCATTCACGCCTAAGGCTAGATAGTGTTCACTAATGACTAATGTCTGCATTTTTCACCTCAGTTTTGCTCTCCATGTTTACTTCTGAACAATTTGAATTTTAAATTAAGGCATAACATTATAAATTGATTGTCAGGGATATGTACTTTTGTGAATCATCCTTTTTGGAGTACTAATTAATAAAGTCTTATGACACAGACACAGATTACGACCACTTGTAGGAAGGCGATATCGGTCTTTAAAAGACTAGGTTCTGTCAGATCGTAATTACTAAACTCTTTCACTATTAAATCAAACTCACTTTTATAGAGTCTCTACATTACAGAGTTGCTATCTGTGTCATCATGTACCTAGGTTGAACTAACAGTTATCCACTCGTCGCATATAATTACCGAACACTGAAATTCCATTATTGCATTATTGGATTGATTAGCCTGATTTTTTCAGCAAAAGGAACCCAGTTCCATCGGCATTAGGTGTAAGATAGTACGAATAATATTCTAATTGTCGACTAGCAATGTGATTATTTCACTGCTTGGCCAGTGTACCTCTATGATTGCGTCGGTGAGCAGAGACGAAACCTGCAAGAGGAACTATAGTTTTCTGAAGCTGAAAATGCAGCTTATTGCAAAACGGATCAGTTAATTTTAAAAGCAAAACTAATGATATTATGGCTAGAAGAGTTCTGCAGTCTCTGGTTACATATGAACAGATTGCAAAAATGACTGAGAGATTTCAAAAATGTGCTCAAATTAGAAACAGAACTTTGTGAAAGTCCACTATATTTGAAGTCATTATTTCAGAGGATATTAATTAATCAGTTTCACGTAATATGTAAGGATTTACTGTACAAAAGTAGTTTTAGAATTCTGATGATTGTAGAAGTTGTCAGATTTTATCTTTTAGTCAGATTTAGTGTCATTAAAAGGGTGGTTTCGGGGGTGGGGGATGGTCATTTATTTATCTTCGTTAATTGAGACTAGTCTTGGTATCAGTGTGGTAGATAACTGAAACCCAAGTGTGCAGTCAGCTTCTTATTCAGACTTTATTAGTAGATGACCGATATATGAACAGAATTTAACTCATTTTGGTAGCAGCAGTCAATCAGTAAGGATTTTTCGACTCGTAAAGTTCAGGTAAATTATATTCTTGCAAAGATATGGACCTAAGAAACTCACGTTCGAAGTGAGAAGCTTTATTGCTCAGCTATTCAACTTATCTGTTTATTCTATAAATCTAAGTAACATGCATGAAAAAGTCAAAAGATAAAAAAAGACTGCAGTCTACTATTCATTTGTGTCGATTAAAGTACCTTCATGAAATGGACAGTCTACCTACGTAGCTAATGGGAGCAGCAAAATGCACCATGTTCAGTATTGATAAGTGTGCGAAATCTTTGACTGTGGAACTAAGTGAATAAAATTTTAATCTTAAAGAGAATGCGAAATGTTCTCAAAGTTGATAGGTTTCAGCATGCATTGATCCCAAGTGTAGGATATCCTGTTGACTGACTGTTAGCACTTATTTGTTCCTAAGATTGAAAACCCATTTATACTTGTATAACTGTGGCCATTCTAATCGAAAATTAATGAACAAGGAAATCAGTCGCTGGGAAAGGATTAGTGCCAGTGAAGATTATTTATAAGCTTAGGAAATAAATATGTTTGTAATACGTGGTTGTCAGTAATCCACTAGATTCTACAGATAGTCATTGCCAAACCAGCAACAATAAGCTAGTAATCATGATTATAGAGACGCATCTGTCCAAATAGTCTGTGTGCCAGAATGCGGCTAATCAGTTCATTCGAGATGTAATGAAGAGAAAATTGTAGTGTTAATAAACAGCTAGAGGATTTATTAATGTGAGTATTACTGTTTACCTGAATAAAATGGGGGAGTTGTTGGTGTTATAAACACGTCGAATAAGTAAAAAATTTTAGGGAATTTCTCCTTGCATAGCACAGAAACAGTACGCAACCACACTTAGCGAAAAAATGTGACGTAAGAAATAAACACAAATCCTATATTTTGTATGATATATATACATATGTATATAACATACATAAACCCATTGATTAACGGAAGGAAACTGATGTAATCCATGGAGTGCGTAACAATGTGATTGTACACTTTTTGGTTATTTGTAGAAATTAGACATATTGTACATAATTTTTGTTTAAAACGCTTCTTGTTGAAATACACTTGGCTTCCGTGTACGATTGGAAAATACACTCTGCTGTTGGGGACTTCGTCTTCTCCTTGGTTTCTTAGGCTTACTAGCTCAGCTCTCACCATGATGTATCTTTCGGATTTATTGTAGGAGTCCACTACGCTCAACCGAAGACAATTCTACAACCGGGACACAGCAGCTACAACCTACTCCGTCCAAACAACTAACGTCTCCGTGGGTTATATAAATAATTTGTAGCAGAGGACTTAAACTTTATTTCCAAGTAACCCTTTTGTTGATATAACGTGTCGTTGCATTTTTGGTAATATACTGTTACTTAACATTCCATTGACTTGAATTTTATTTCTCATATTTTGTATTACTAGTGAACTCTAACATAAGTCCCCTACAAATTAAATTTGTAGGGGACTTATGTTAGAGTTCACTAGTAATACAAAATATGAGAAATAAAATTCAAGTCAATGGAATGTTAAGTAACAGTATATTACCAAAAATGCAACGACACGTTATATCAACAAAAGGGTTACTTGGAAATAAAGTTTAAGTCCTCTGCTACAAATTATTTATATAACCCACGGAGACGTTAGTTGTTTGGACGGAGTAGGTTGTAGCTGCTGTGTCCCGGTTGTAGAATTGTCTTCGGTTGAGCGTAGTGGACTCCTACAATAAATCCGAAAGATACATCATGGTGAGAGCTGAGCTAGTAAGCCTAAGAAACCAAGGAGAAGACGAAGTCCCCAACAGCAGAGTGTATTTTCCAATCGTACACGGAAGCCAAGTGTATTTCAACAAGAAGCGTTTTAAACAAAAATTATGTACAATATGTCTAATTTCTACAAATAACCAAAAAGTGTACAATCACATTGTTACGCACTCCACACTGTAGAGGCTAAGCAAAGGTAACATCAAGTTTTAGGTGATAGTTATTAAGCAAAGGTCTGTCTCTGATACACTGCACTATATTTTCATCTAGTTGTCAGTTTGGGTTTCAAAATAAGATTCCGATCGTGTGATCTTAGTGCCTGACAGCAGTCAAACAGTCTCAAGCATATACAAACGATAAAGAGAGTTATGTTTTCACACCAAGTGACCGTATTCCGAGTTTTGAGGAAGTTAAAGCATCCGAAAGTTCTGTTGTCACACCATGCTGGTGGAGAAACAATAACCATGGAGGGCAGATTGACAGCATTTCGGTGGAAAGGCTGAAATCCACTACACTTCCGTTAGCTAAGGCAAACACTGAAATTCAGTCACACTTGCAATATTATCGACAAATTTCTATGCTTGCATATCAGATAGAAAAATTGTTTCGCCATCTACGGAATATGCATATGTAATTAGCAAGAATAGATTCCTAGTCAGATATTGATTCTAATTTCTTTGTTTGTACACAGTCAACATTGTGAATGATTTCGCAAATGAAGTCAAGATAGCATATTTACCTTCTTTATAATATTAACTGAATCTGATTAGCATAAAATCTATTAGTGTATAGTTTTGCTTCCTTTCTACCTGTGTGTCTCCCTCTCTCTCTGTCTTTCTCTCTCTTGTTGTTTGTAGAACCTTGAAGTAAATTATTGATTGTCACCAAAAGTAGAATGACACCTTGTCGCTGTGTGAATTATTCAAGTAGGAATAGATGACCCGACTTATTTCATTCGGTTGTATGCAAAAAGAACACTTCAGGGAAGAAAAAATATTTTCTGCCTATTGACTGTCAAGGCTTGAATAATCCATAATTTTCAGCATACCCAATAAGAAAGCACCACTGGAAAAATAGGTACACTTCTGTATTTGGGTTGAAGTAGGAGATTAGTTTTTATACTACTCAATCTCATAACTAGACTTTCATAGGTTCACAGAGCAGTGTAAGCTTTTTCAGATATCTGTTATCTCTCACTCACTGTACTGAATACGCAAGCACACTAAAATTCTTACTTCGAGTGTATGTGAAATGGTTATGCTGCAGAGATTTATGTGTATAGTTACAAAGCTAAAATATGTTTGTTTAAAGGAAACTAGCTTTATTTTAGTATCTACTTCTTAATTTAACCTCGTGCAATTATAATCTACATGAATGCCTTCCAATGAAACCATGTAGTGAAGAATGATAACTGATAGCCAGCAAGTGTTGAATAAAGCTTCCATACGAAGTTTTACGAACACAACATTTAACGAAGAGACTGTTCACGAGTTTTTTTATCAAGCTGTATATGTATATATATTCCTTTGTCAATAGAATTTTTAGTTTAAGAAAGCGATAAAGCAACTGTAGCACTTATATTTATTCAACCATACTGACTATAAAAATCCTGCTTTTTCATTTACATCAAACTGGCTAAATACAATTACGAACCATTCCAGTTTTAATACACAAAGTTGTTTAAGTGGCACTGCGATTATGACTCTCGCCGATCATGTACATGGTCTATGGTTCGATCCCCTGCCGATGCACACCTGATATCAATGGTCAGCCTTCAGAATTTGTGCTACCGATATCACATGCTGAAAATTCCATACCTGTGCCAAAAAATGCGGTGTGGAATCAAGCTGTAATAAAAAAGAAAGATTACATAGAAGGTTGAATAAAATTCAGACAATCAATAAAAAATTTAACCCTTTGCAGTTTCTAAAGCATTAACTAGTGAACCCTGAAGATTAGATTTCTCAAGTGAAATTTTGAATAAGTTCTTAACTCGAGAAAATAAACATTTGAGACTGCAGGGCTAGAATTCATAAACATTTGGTTGGAATATTGTTCGATAAATCTCGTTATGAAGGTATAAGAATCATATGTAAATTTATAGGACACACTTAAACTTTAGTCAGATAGTTGTCAGTGATTTCCGACTATTTGATTTTTTTTTCATTCATTCAGACCAAAATAATTTAGCATAATAAAAGTGACCCTGCTCATGGTACACAAAAATTAACATATTCAGACTGATGTGTGTCTTTTAATTGTCGGCAGACAACAAGTGTAAAACTCATCCACTTATCAGAAGGGTTTAAAATTTCACTTTCAAGTCTTCTGGTTTCATGCTCTTTTTTATTCCTTTACTTTCCTAGTGGAACATAGGACTTCAAGCTAGAGGCTTGAAGTTTCGGTAGCAATGGTGTTTATTTTCACGGGACGGGGTTGCTAGCCTCATGCCCAACCTCTCCTCTTTACCAACTTTATTACTGGCTAAGTGAGGTAGAGGAGTGTGTCGACCGGAGATCGAACCCCGAACCACCTGTGTGGTTGGTGAGCATTCTACCGCTGTGCCACCGATGTTGTATTGATGATTAAACATGAAACTGAACATCTGACGAAACAGTTAATCTGGTACATTACAGCTGTTTAGAATTAGTAGGGTGAAAATATTAGCATTTCTTAGAATTAACGCAACACTTAGGAAACTATTTTATAACTGCAATAAAATTAAGTAATCGAAATAACGCCTTCTAATCGATGTGGAGAGAAGCTATTGTCACAGAAAAGTCAAAAGTAAGTAGCCAAAGATTGTTAATTAAGTTCTATAAGTTTCAGAAATGTGAAGTCAAATCTTCCCCGTTAGTGTATTTTTTATCAGAATTCACTACCTAGTTAATTCATTTTATCCTCAGAATACCTACTAGTACCAAATAACAAATGTAACCTGATTTAGGATTCTAAGTCTGCAGACTAACACATTAAATATTGTACTACTGAGTACCATTTAAGTGATCAGTGTTTGCAAATCCAACTTATCGGTTATACAGTTCACTAGCCAGTTCTAAGCCCGGAAAAAGAGAGAAGGTTGAGTGTGTGGCTAGCAAATCTACCCCCAGGAGATCAGTCTAATCGATACAGAGACTTTAAACTAGGTTAGAATGTACTTCTTTTCAAAAATGCAACATCTCATCACAAAAAGAAAACAAAAAATCTATAATACAGGTAATTGCTTTTGCGGGAAATAAGCACCGTTAAACACTTTTATTCTATTAGCATTTCTAGTCAGTAATAGTAATTGAATTCTTGTTAAGTCTCGATACGCTGCTGTACTTTAGGCCTTATGTGTACTTCACCTGTAGGAACGTCACAATGGTTTCATAAAATAATCAAATGAGTCATTAATTAAAACGATGAAAAATAAGTAGAATTTCTGGTATCACTTTATTTCTTTCCGCTTTTTCAGAATTATGTCAGAATCTGGAGCGACTGATGTAAGTGACGTTTTTGATTATTTAATTGAAACTAATTTTAATGTGATTTGTCATCATCTTCAACGATACCAATATTTCGATAGAGAAAGAAAGACCAGATTTGCAGTATAAAATGATATCATTCTACTTCACAGGTTCTCATCATCTGCAAACTACCTGAAATTACAATGGTTATAATTAATAACATTTCATACTTCATTGTTTGAAAGGTAATACAGAAAGCATTATAAGATAAACGCATCCGGAATATAAGGATTAAAATTTTGTAGTTTAAGTTAGCATCAATTTATATACTATCAAACTATGGAAAAAAGAAAGAAAAAAGAAGGGGGGGTGAGAGAAGACAGAAAACAGAAAAACCTAATAAACAGTGTCAACATGGCAACTCAACAAGGTCAAAGTTCATCAATTTGAAAACTTGCTTAGTGAGTTGAACTCACTAGTGTCTATGAGTAATCAGTGTAATGAAAGTGATATGGTTACCAAGGGAGTGAGAGATTGACTACACTCTCTTTCTGTGTGCATAAGTTTGGTTTGAGGCGTTTGATTGCAATTGCTTCAGCAAATCGCAGTAGATTCGCTGTCCTTTGTATGTTTAATATTTTGAAGGATTTGGAAATCTCAACAAAATGGCCTGTATCCATAAGGTGTCTGGTAATTGCACTTTGTAAATATTTGCTTCCTTTTAAGCACAAGTTATTGATAGTATATAAATTGGTGGTAACGTAAACTACAAAAAATTCTAATCCTTATATTCCGGATGCGTTTATCTTATAATGTTTTCTCTATTACCTTTCAAACAATGAAGTATGAAATGTTATTAATTATAACCATTGTAATTTCAGGTAGTTTGCAGATGATGAGAACCTGTGAAGTAGAATGATATCATTTTATACTGCAAATCTGGTCTTTCTTTCTCCATCGAAATTTATCAAGGGAACCAAATGTATGAGATACCAATATTATTAGTAATGGCAGTAAGACTAATGGTTTCTTGTATATTCTACTTATCAATCCGAAATACTTACTAGAAGATGTCATCCTTTTTAAAAAATATTCTTTATTACTAAGTTTTTCCGCCGAAGAATACTTCTGGGTTACGAAGAGGAATACAACTTTAATAGAGATTCATTCACATTCAGTTATGTACAGACAGGTGAACCGAGTGTTCATCTTAGGGAATTCGGCATATAGAATGTGCGGGTAGCAAACCTTATGATATCCAATCGAAACCACCACCAAGAAAAATGCTCAAGATTTGTAAACAAGGAGAGAGATAATACGACTTAAGAGACCACATAAGATAGCGGGAAGAAATGAGAATTTGCAAGACTGAGATCAACTCTGAGGGTTGAATTCAGTAAGAAAACAAGGTAAAAACTTCTGCATTTGACTCAAAATGTAATCGAAATATTGTTAGTAGTGGAGTGACATAGTGACCACGCTCTTCTTTCATTTACATGATAGTCTGCCAACCACACCGAAGACGACATACAATAATAACTTGCCAGCTATGTGAGCGTTTCATTCGTATCAGTAAGCTATGAATGTAAAAATAGCGTTTGAGCACTGCTGATTACAGGCAATAAATTTTTCCGGAAGCGTCACCAGTAAATAACGCTATGTCATTGTGTCTTAACTGAAAACAAAATTATTCTAAGGTGAAATTACACTCTATTACATTGCCCAAATATTATTCTTATTTCAACAAAACTTATGGTATTCCAATAAGAACGCTTATGTATAAAACTGACACAATGTTTTCAAACTGAAACTCACCTTGATATGACTGTGAGAAATAAATTATACTCGAAAGATCATCAGTTAATGGTCCTTTCTAACTCTGTGTAGTTTCATGAATTAAAAGTCCCCTATAATGGTATGCTTACTATTATAATCGACAGAGAAAAACTCTTCAATTTATATTCGCTAATATGAATCAGCGTTTTGCATAGAACACGTTTCTTTATACACAGTGCTGTTGGATATCGTATTTCATTGAGCACTATGCATAATGGATAAATACTTCTTCATATGAGAATATAGAAAATGATTCACTTTAATTAATTACTACAGTAATATCGTCTACGTTTATTGATTAATTCACAGATGAAATGTATTTTCGTCTATTGTATTCCTCTTGCATAAGAAGAACATTTCGAAAAAGACGGGTTTTTTATGGTTGAAAAACTTGATTACTATTGAACAGAAGTTGTTACAAAAAGTATAATTTAAGAACTAAATAACAAAAGTTCTTATATCTGTTATCTTAAGTGTACTCACATAGTTGGAAGTATTCCACTCGTCATAATTCACTATGCTGTAAAACTATTTAAGCGACAATTACGGCTGAATTTTATTTATTTATGCACACGGATTTTTTAAAGAATAGCAAAATTAATTTCATTTGTAGGCTGTTAATTTTGACTGAATTATATAGACTGAAATTGTAAGGTAATAAATAAACTGAGCGAAGTCGAGCGGAGAGTACAGCCTTCCACTCATCTGATATCTCTGAACTCTTCAGTTAACATGATGATCCTTAAAGACGGACCTAATAAGTTGTGTTTTAATGTTGAGCATTTTATTTATATAATCAAGGGGATTTAATGGAACTTACATACAGGGTTTACTAAATTACTCGTTAATTCTTCCATGTTAACAGAAGACTAATGTGCTAGCGTTAAAGGCTTTTTAATCCTTAAATAATTTCATTCCTTGAATATATAACTATTATTGTTATATCATTATTGTTCCCTTAGATTCCGAGTGGCACATAGGGCTTCAACAACACATCTCCACTTTGTCCTATCTTCTGCCGTCCTCTTCAGCTTGGACCACGATTGCCCACAATCTCTCATCTCCTCCTCACACAATCTCCTCCATGTCACCCTCGCACCCACGACACACTCGTCGCTTCCCATTTGGCTTCCACTCGAGCGATGGCCTGCATTGCGCGCGATGTCATGTGACGGTTTCCTCAATGTATGCCCGATCCATCTCCATTTTTTCCTACATACTTGTTTAGCGATCGGTTCTCATTTGGTTCGTTACCAGCCAGAGTTTTTTGTTACTCATTCCTTCTGGCCGGCTGACCATTTGATCTCCAGTATGGAGCCATTAAAGGCAGCTAATGATGAAAGTCTACAACTGGATGTTGGAAATCCCTTTCGTGACACGCTGTCCAAGTTTCTGACCCGTATAGATGGACCAACTTGGCACTGTTATTGAAAAACTGAATCTTGTTCTTTATGCTGCGGAGGGCGGAAGATTTCTAAGCCGATTTCAGGTTAATGAAGGCGTGTGTATCTTGCCTGTCAGATTTTGGCTGGTCAGCTTTGACTTCATGCGTTCCTCTGGCAGCGGTTGAAACCGTGCTTCCTAGATAAGTGAAAGAGGTAACGTCTGTTAAATTTTTCTCGTTTATGGTGATTGGTGCTGGTTGGTGTTGCAGTTGGTTGCTTATCTTCATCACGTACGTCTTCTCTATGTTCTCTCTTCACTTGGAGTCATGTCTTCGCTACTTCTTCAGCCAATCTGTTGATTTTCGCCTGTAAGTCCTCGAGTTTATGTGATACTAGACATACATCATCTGAGAAATCCAGATCTTCTAGAGTCTTATTATCGGTGGTCCAGCGTGTTCCTGCCTCCTCACTCCCTACTGTCTGACGCATAATCCAGTTCACCTCAGTTAAGAATTTCATCGGTGATAATGGGAAGCCAGCCTGCCTTACTCCGGTGTTCACTTCGAATGCCTCACTGAGTTTTCTGTTGTGGACCACCTTACACGTGGCACTGTCATATAGCGAGTTGTTGAATGAGGTTGATAAAGACTTAGGCACTGCACGCCGTAGTTTTGAAGTAGTTTCCAAATTACTTCTCGTTCAGCGCTGTCTGGTGAAGGCCTTTTCGAAGTAGATGAATTTGAGGTGGTGTGGAAGTTGACTGCTATTCTATGCTTTGTTTTATGATGACTATGCCTAGAGTTGCAATTTGATCAGCACATGATTTACCTCCTTTGAATCCAGCTTGTTTCGGTGGGGCTGGCGGAGTTCTGTATGCAGTGCATCTTTTATTCTCTCCAGGATGATGCAACTTAGCATTTTACTTGGCTTAGTGAAGAGAATTATTCCAAGCAGGTGAGGATGAATATGCGACTAACGTTTAGATAATCCAGTACAGTATGTCTCTACACCGAATAGCTTAAGCTTTTTCGTTTACTAGAATGATTAGCTTCGAAAACACTTCACAAATCTGTGAATTAGTAGAATTTGCTTCTCCTTTTCTTAGAATTAAATTGGTTAACCTGATAGACTTAAAGTTACTTTAAGTGTTTTATTATATTTTACCGGTTAAAATGCGTTTATACCGTTACTTCTTTGTTGTCTATAGACTGTGTTATCGCTATATGTTTGCGCTCATACGATGCATAAATTTGAGGTTTAATAAATTCATAAATTGTATATATGTACTGTGTTCATTTGTTGTGAAATGACTCATTAGAAATATAGCACACATAAACATTGTCTATTTTCAAACGGTTACAAACAATGCCACTTTTCAAATAGAATTAAGGGTATTTCGGTTGAGAGAATTTATTTAACTGAGATTTAATGTGAATCATATTCACCTCTTACTGATTAATTCAAGAGAAGAAATTAGCATACGACCGACCGAATTTTTTAACGTTTAAGATTACGGAGACATTTCTCTCTCCATGTTGACATGCTGTATAATTGGAAAAAGATGAATCACAGTATATGCAGTTTTCTGAATATTTTCTGAGTGAAACAAGCAGAAAAGACTTTTTATATTTTACTTTAAAGAAATTATGAATATTACTTGTTATAGTTTTGGAAAGCAGACAGTACTGGGGAGTAAATTTATCCTAGACTGGAATTATTTGTTGTACGCCTGAAGCACAGAAGTCAGGATTTTCAGGAATAATCTATTTATTGAATACTTGTTCAGTTTTAATCTACTGATATGTATTTCTTATTTCTACCGCATTGTGAGTTAAGTGCTGACTAGTCGTATGTACGGACAACAAGTTCTTAAATATTTTTGCAGTCCGTAAACGTATCTGTCAGAAGTTAATATGGTTATTTTGAAGCGTTGTTTGAGTTGGAGATCCTGAATTCCCGGTGAGAAGTCGGGACGGCTGGAGTTCACAAAGTCAGGTGTAAAGAAAGGTACTCACTCACCAGTGACACCGGATGGCGTTTACCCTTTATATCGTGAATTAGCAGAAGTTAGATGTAGTGGGTAGTTGAATTCTAATGGAAGAATAGTAGCGTGTCTGCTTAGTAACCCGTGAGAACTGAGTTCTATCCTTGGTGACACCACAGGTGAGAGCCGTTTAAGTCTTTGAAGGAGGAATAAATATCTGTGCAGCGCTTCGAGGTTTTCAATGGTTTTTTAAGGGGTTTCAGCTCATATTGCGATCAAACTTAAAAGAATTAAATTCACGGTTTGCAAATTAGTTGACCGTTTGCAATGTACACAGTTCGAGGGGTGAAATTTTACCATAGTGTCTCTCAGAAACGAAATTATTCAGATGAGAGTATGTGACCTGCTTGATACCATAAAAAGTAATCAAGAAAACAAGCATATTCGCATAAAACTTCATACTACTAATCGATTGAAGTGAGTAGTTGTATGCCACTCATATCAACCAACTGCGCTCGCTGGTCAGATTGAGGTGATCTAAACAAAGGATGGCTGTTTCGCTCACTTCAGGCCAAGCTCATCAGAAGTGTGCTCAGTGTAATTCAGCTCAGAGGGTGGAATCAGTTCTTATCATCTTACAAAATGTATTTATCCCACTGTTTTACCGTTCGAATGATTTTCGTTCTCATCCAAGGATACTCTTGTTGGAACACCTCTACATGATGTCCACTATTCATCACTTCAGCATGAACGAAATCATCGTGCGGAACAGTTACGTGATATCTGTCCAGATTCATTTAACGATGATATTAAGGTAAGTTAGTCAGCCTCTTAGTTAACACACAGAGACAAATGTCTCACTCTTTTGTTCGACAATTTTACATAAGTATAACTTAATTCTGATATCTGAAAACTTAACGAAGAAGAGTAAGATTTCGTCTTCTTTGAAAGTTATAAAATTTGCTTCCTGTGTCATATACATTCTAAGGGTGAAAAGTAAAAGAATTACAATTTAGATGAAGATTTTATGCCGACTGTTAAGAATTATAATTTATAATTTCTCTTTCTATATGAATTTTTATATTTCACTTCATCAAAGTTCACGAAGAAAGATTTCAGAGAAATAAGTTAAATTCCTTCCATTCCCTTGGTTTCATGTCAGGTGTTTACAGCATTAAAGCATAAAACACTTAAGAAATACGCCTGTATTTTACTACTATTACCAGATAATGTAGTCAGTTACAAGTATCAGATGCAGGTTTGATCATGAGCTGATATCAGTCGGAGAGAAACTGGAAAGCCAAGGAGTGCGGGACAACTGTTTCCTCCTAGATCTAGAACTCCAAGTAAACCTCCTCTATAAAGTCAGTCACTATTGAGCATCAGAGTAATTAACAACTGTTGGTTTGAAGAAATCTGACTGATGCTCACTAGCGACTGCCTCTATAAAGGAAGTCGCCTGGAGTTCTAGTGAGAATTCGTAACCAGCAGGGTCTACCATGTCAGGTATGAGAACACTTATTGGCTTGTAGTATCCCAGGTCACATTACCGGTGACGTAATAATTTTAATGATTGTATTCTTAGTAAATTGCATATACCTCCATGTAGTTTACTTTTAGAGTATTGAAAACAATAATGAAAAGCCCAGGGAAAGCCTAAACCATAGATTGTGAATTGACAGTCTCAAGGATTTCGAAGTGGTTTCGTTTTAACCACAGAATAAGGTGATGGAGTGGATGTTTAGTTATGCACTTCGAAGTGTTAATTGTGCGAAATACGCTTTAAAGAAACTAATTTAGCATACTTGAAATGATGGACTGAATATCACTTTTTTTTCGTGCTAAAGTTATTTCTGAAATATAATTCAATAAACGCTGCTGACCACACAAAACACGTTGAAAAAAATGAAGATATATGTTTAGATATTAATAAAGTAGTGTTAATTTGTAGAACAGATTGAAAAAGTATAACATAATTCATCAAACAGTATACGGGAACATATATGATCTCTGCTTAATCTTATCGCTTACTTAAATAGCTGGAGAGAATGTTCACATTGTTGGTAAAGCTGAAATATAATAACGATGAATAATCAGGCTTCGAGGTTAAAGGGATTTCACTGATTTTATGATGGACTTCATGATGGACCGACAATGAATAGAGAATCGTACAAAATCTTGGAGCACTATACACCTATTTTATCTTGGGTTTAGCCTCTTCCGTAGAACGCGTTCATGACATCAGCGGGACTGAACCCAGGACCTTTATTTTACATCATTATCACTCATCTATCGGGCCGTAATCCACTGGACGATGCACTTTAACTTGTAGCCCCAGAGCTGTCCAGTATCATCGAGGAGAAAGTCTTCAGTTCTATCTTAATGACCTGGACACACCTGTCATTCGTTATTTAGGAAAGAATCACACTTTAAGTGTTGAGGTTGTGGGAATTCGAGTTTTAAAACTTTAACAGTTGCCTTATTCCTAAATAACTACGGAGATAAATTTAGGACTTGAATAACAATAGCTGCTGCCAAGTTTTCAGTCACTTTGGATTTGTTTGGTAGTAACTGTCTGCTACTAAAATTCTTAATCCGCATCATTCAATACATCATTATTTTGTATAAATTACTTATTTTACCACTTTTGTTACCACTATATTAAAGTCATTTAGGCTCAGTGGTAGAACATCGGTCAACCACGCCACCGGTCCGTGGTTTAATCCCACCTGGCGCACTGGTTTACCTCGCTCTATCGGTAGTATGCCATGAAACTTCTAAGCTCTAACTTGAAGCCCTAAGTTTCACTGGGAACTCAAAGAAATAAAATAATAATAAGTCTTTAACGTGTTGGAAATTAAAAGGTATTCATTATTGAGTAAAGCTGGACCAGAGGAAACTTTGTTTATGTATGTAAAAGTTGTAAACAGCTTTCATGAGATGTCAGGTTGCAAGTGAAACAATCTGCGGTGAATCTCATAAATCAGTGTCTCTTGCACGAAGTGATAAATCGTTTGAAAAAGTGATCCGATTTCAGCAATATAACTCAGATGGTCTAGAGTTTTTCGCATTACTGTAATTATCACCTTGAATATCTGTTGTGCCATCTAAAGTTTGAGGAAATTATGAAAGGTTGAGAGGCGCTGTTTATGTAATGTATTTCACCATGTAATGAGGTTGGTGCGTACTTCTGATGAGACTCGAATTAGGGTGAAGCAGCTCTACAGTGCTTCTTGGTTTCCGCTGGTTCTCTGTTCGACCTCACTTCGTAAGAAAAATCCACATTGAAGGAAATAAATGCTCACTGAATTTTACCAAGACTCCTTAACAACACCCACCCCCCGAAGTCAAGAAGTCATACTAGAGTAAAACAGAAATATCCCTTTCACACATCACAACTGTCTCAAAGGGCCTAACTGATTACTACGGTTACATGTAATTATTTCCCCCTTCCCCTCTCTAACGACATTCGCTAAAGGGGGATTATTACAGGCGTCAAAGTTAAATGTAATATTTGGAATTATATGCAATAACTTCAGGAAACACTATGCCATTTATAAACGTATGTAAAGCAAGATGATAAAGCAGTCTCTGAGGCTAAACCACATCGAAAAGGCCATAAAATCTTGTTAGAAGTAGTCAGAGTTTACAAAAATACACAATGAATATAAAACATGTAAGAGAATAGATTATGCGCCACTTGAGAAAGCTTCTAGGGGATCAGTCATGTTCCCATCCACGGAAATTCGTGGTTATTTTATTAATATAAATTGACTACTATCATATTACATATAGGTTTTAAACTATTTCTCTTTTATTTTCTTTCATCTCACTTTTCTTTATCAGGATGTATCAGAACAAGAATGCATGAAAGAACGAACAAGAATGTTAAGAGTGAGTTATCTGAACAAAATAATAAACAACCACTAACACTTCAGAAATTAACACAATAAAATATTAAAAATAGCTTCATTTGTAATTAATAGTGTTCTGTGAGCTGGTTGGTTTGGTTGCGGAGCTTTCGCCGTCCTTCTGGACAACATCTTCAGCGCAATATTTAGCATAAAGTGAAATGATTAAAATTTCTTCATGAGTGATATAACTGCGTCTCCCGGTAACCATCTTTACATATTGCGTTGAAGATGTTGTCCAGAAGGACAACGAAAGCTCCGCAACCAAACCAACCAGCTCAGAGAACACTATTAATTACAAATCATCCACCTGAGCTACAAATCTTCTCTATTATTTCAAAATAGCTTCATTTAACAGAGATGGCTTTTAGCAAATGCATGCATTGTATTGTAGACAAACTGTTTGAATTCATTTAGCAGTGAGCATTATATCATTTGATGTCTTTTTAGTGTTTTAGCAAATAAAATAATCTTTCGAAACAAACAACAATTGCTTACTTAACAGCCTTACTTTTCATGGGTTTTACTGAGAGTAATAACCATTGATGATAGACCAAAGTTTCTTACTCAATTAGAACAAAGTCTACAGCAGTGTATGTAGAACGTACACGATTGCCTTGTAAATAAGGACAGTGGTCTGATTCTAATGGCTCATATTTCCTGTTTTAAACTAATGTATATAATACATGCTGATATTTTTGAATACCTAGAAAGGCCAGTCTTCATAGCTTGGGATATGGCTTATATCAAAATTCTCAGTTTATTGAGCTGAGAAGTTATTTTAAACTGATTTCAAAGGTTGTTTCCTTAATTAAAGCACGTCAATAGAAGTAACTATTAGAAACCAGTGTCCATTAAGGATGTTGTTTAGCCTTACGTTCAGATTATTTCACATCTAGTAAACAGAATATTGCGTGGAAGAGAGCTCTTAACCATCAGCTTACAAGGTGGCCACTGTACCATTCAGCTTCTTAGTTGAAATGGATTATCACTTGGTTTCCAATTTCCTACGATTACCGTTCTAGAAGATAGGAAGAAGGTCCAAGCTGAGACCGCTTAGCTGTTCAGTGACGTTTTTCTACTTTCCTGCCACTCAATATCAACTGGTAACAAAAACAACCCAGCAATGAAATAAAGATACAAAAAGAAATTACACTTAAACAAAAATATCAAGTTCTTCGCCTAATTTATTTTTAAATGTCTTTTGGCTAACACAGGAACATATTGAAGGAAACATTGAGATATTGGATTATCTTCAAGGAATATCGGGACTTGAACATGATTTTACTGTAAGTTGTGCTTCGTAGATTTTGTTTAAAATCAATAACAAGTGACACAAACTGATGATATGGGAGTATTTGAAGTGGATCCACAGTTTTAGTTATACTGAGCCATCAGTCTTAAAACTAAGAGAGATAAATATTTCTGTGAAAGATGTCAATATGTTTATTGTTTCCTAAACTGTGGTGAAACTATATTCGTGTAATGACAACGAAATAACACTATAATTTAGAACATTTGGACTGGAAGTTTATATTGCCTCATGAACATAGCATGATAGATGTGTACATAACTACTAAAGTGAAATGTTATCTATATATACTAGAAAGTCCTTTGCACACAGTGGAGGACAGCAGACGTGTGCTAGATTACTGTCATAGTCAACGGAGTCTAAACCTCACTTAAATGTACATAAGCCGAGGTTCTGAATGCCTTGCCAAACAACTTAAGGGTGGTTTACATGGTTCATATATCGTTCCTTGAATAGTTATATTTTTTAGTGCCAATTTTGTTATTTTCGATTTAATCCAAACGCTCTAGATAACTTTGTTTCAACTGTGATATTGTTCTGCTTTCTAATTTGAACTCTGATGATTAAAAGAGAGCGAGTTTAACTATTGGGAATACATAGCAAAGTAGTAAAACTGTATTATGAAAAAGAGTCTATTTAAGCTGATTAATAGCAACTGATAAACCTGAGATACAAGCGGATTTTCAATAATAAGAGCAAAACCAAATTAGGTTGGTCGTCTGTTAGGTAGGTGGTTAGTCACAGAACAACTTTACACTGAACCTGTCTCGCGTTCACATGATAAATATCACAATAGTTTGAATACAACAAATTAGTTCCTTAATAATACCATATTTTATTTTAAAGTTATTTTGACGATTGAAGACAAATTTAATGATATATTCTTTCTTTAATATGAATCAAGAAACTGGCAGATCGCGTCGTGAATACAGCAATGACGTTAAGTGATCGAAATAATGTGGTACATTCGGATAGGATTTATAGTAAGGTAAGACTGTACGACTGATATTTCTGTGGTAGAAAACAGAAATGTTTCGAAATCTCTGTTATTTTCCAAGATGATATTTGATTTTCCTTTAAATGGCCAGTTTATTATATTATAAATAAGTGCGTCCCATTGTAAATTCATTTCTTCGTGTTCCGCGTGGAACATAAGGCTTCAAGTTTGAGGATTGAAGTTTCAGTTGCGATTACTTTTTTGTTACTCCAGAGTGTGGGTGCTAGCGTCAAGCCTAACCTCCCCTCTTCATCATGGTTACTACCGGTTAAGGGAGGTTTACGGGTGCGTCGGAGGGATATCGAAATCCGAATGTTGTGAGTGGTTGTCGAGCATCCTAACACTAAAACAAACATCTATGGCAATGCAAATTCCTATTTTCGACTTTATGCATCCTCTTCAAATTTCCTGAAATAGCTAAACAGAGTAAAACATAAGACTATTAAATGCAGCAGGAGAATCAGGATTTGGGTGACTCCTGATTTCATTACTTCTGCAGAGTAAACACCTGAAAATCTCCACCAGATCAAAATATTTTAATTTCATTTTATTTTTATCAGAGGTCATCTAAACTGTACTGCAATATATGTTGTTGTATGACAATCGAATGAGGAGATGGTACAGTTCCAATCGGTTTATAATTAGTGTGTAAGAAAGTAGAGAAGCGATGTAAAAATAGTTTAGATGTGGTTTTTCAGTCTTCCTTTTCTCCTGTTAACATCAGTTATGAACAGAAACCGTCTGACCAAGCTAATGACGCTCAAAATTTTTTAAAATAAGTTTAGTAAGTCATTAAAAGTGTGAATAGGAACGAAAATCAACAGCGTAAATAAATGGGTAGGGGGAAGTAAAAGTTCGCCTAGATCCTAGTGAGCCGAACGTTTGAATGTGTAAGCTTTGTCCACTGGGATATATAATCAGCAATCAAATGTATTACCACTAGACTTGTTTACTACACATCTATTGTGTCAAGTTATAGGAAATCCTGACTTTCAGTCAACTAATAGGGAACTAACTGGCGTGGACGAGTAGTCTGTCGGAACAAAACTCAATTTTTAGAATCAATGAATTCTATGCCCAAGCTTCTCTGCTAACATTTATTCTGTGCGCAGATACACCCACTAGAAATTAAACAGGCGGTCATCAACACGGTGAAATTCTAATCGAAATCAAAACTGTCCTTCAATAAGCCAACAGAAAATTAATGCAGTTAATTAAAAAGTCAAGAATTTCAAATAAATACTACCTAAATTTTAATTTTTTTACTCTTGAAAATACTACTTTTAGGATACTGGTGCCAGTGTCGACAAATGTTGGAAATATATTTCTCAATTATCCGAGGCAATCCAGCTTCATATTATGAAGTCATATGAGTATCACAAGGTTAGTCTAGTATTAAAAATAAACAATAAATACATAAGAAATAATGTATAAATCTATTTAAATTGATTATTGTTACTCAAAATCTTTGAGTAAATCAGTGGTATTGGTTGGATTCGATTGAATTCACGAACTAAAATGCAAGACACTTTACATTAGCTTTTAGTTTTATTTCATGATAAAAATATGGTGTCACAAGGAGTGTCTGAAGTGGAATTCGGGGCTTCTCCAGGAGTAGGGATTGTTATTTGCAGGATTACTAATCTAAAGTCATGTAATTTGGTTTTTTGTGTTGGTATACTGAATACATCTATGTTAAGTATCCTGTTGTTATATTTTTCAAGCGTTTAATCATGGAAGGAGTCTCTGCAAAACACAGATTCTTTTTTAGGCATGAGAAAACGTACAGTTCTCTAATGGTTTTAACTTGTGTCACTTAGCGGTGTGGAAACATGACCACAGATTTATCTGGATCACAAGCAAGATCCTACTTATCTCCATTATAGATACACATTACAGAGTGAATTTATACGCTGACTGATATCAACTGGAAATTCGTTGAAATGGAGGAATTTAGGACAACTGTTTTATCCCAGTTTTAAACTCATAAGTAGAAGGGGACTTAAATATGCTTCAGAACAAAGCTACAACAGTTGGATTTCGAAACAAATATGATATCATTTACTTAAGATCATAAGAGCATTGCCTTAGGGATCCGTGAACGTACTGTCGCTGATACTAAAATTAAGGAAAAACACCGCACTCATTATAATCATTTTGAACTTTGTGGTTCGAAGTACTGATGAATATTTATTTAAGTGGTGCCCAGTATATTTACCAGACCTAATGACAGGAGACTATGTTGCTATTAATCGTATTCATCCCTTGCGTTCTTAGTGGAGTATAGGGCTTCAGCAACACGTCTCAGTTTCACTGTGTTCTCTGAAGTCAACTTTATCTAGCTACACGTCCGCGCGATAACTTTCATTTCCCTTTCACGCGATCTCCTCCATATCAGGCTTGCCATCACGCCCAACCAGTCGTTTCCCATTCGGATATCACTCAGTATTCTTCTCAGCTTATTGTCGCTCCATCTCCATTTCTGTCTGCAATTTTGTTGGGCCAAATGCTGTTGTTCAGTTTGTTGGCGGAATTCCTTGTTGCATATCCTTTCTGACCGGTCATCTGATCTTTCGTATCGAGCGATGGCACATACTAATAAAAGTATGTAATCTGTTAGAAAAGATTTCGATGAGGTGCACCTTAAGTTCTTGAACCACATGGGAATATCGACAGATACTAGTGTTTAAAATTCTCGTCTTGTTTCTTATGATGCATGCAGTAAATTTTCGCAATGTATTCAAGGTAGTGTACGCCTATCTTGCTTTTCCAAAGCTTTTAATATTCTCTAATACACATTTCTCAAGTCCTTTATTAGCAATGAGTCAGCCATTTAATTTTTCAAGGTACCTGAAAAGTTATTTGTTTAGCACAGAACACAAGTTCACAAAGTTATAAAACTAGGATAGTATTCGTAATATTCAGTGGAAATGCACATTAGTGTAACAGAAATAAAATTCCAGTAGGGTTGTCTCCTATCTTTATTCTATGTAGTTTTTTACTTGACACTTTATTATTCCTACAGTATTTCGTTAAATGAACGAGAAAAAGTAGTGATTTTTGCTGGGCACTTAATCAGTTCCAAACTTTCATTGTAAAATACCACTCAGTGAAAGCTAATGAGGCAATGCTGTCAATCGATTGGTCACTAGACAGTAATCTATTTCAATTCTCTAATCCCTAAGGTTAGTGTTAACTGTCAGTCAAGTTTGCAAAGTGATCACCAAGCTAGGTAACTAGCCATTTTAGTGCACCTTAAATTTGCGTACTTGGAAACAACCGTCAGGAAGCCCTAGACCTAGATTTTTTGGTTGCACTCCTCAGCAAGAGCTATTCGCAATCTTGAAAGAAACTGATTTTATCCAAAGATCCTTATTTTTGATTGCACACTAGTCAGTAACTAGTGTATTGTATCTAGTCCTTTCTTCGGTGCAGACTGAATTCTATCAGTCATGTTTGCAATGTGGCCACCATGCTAGGTGGCTCGCCATTACGGTGCACTGTGAATTGTTGGTATTAGATGGTTGGAGGCAATCGGCGGGAAGCCTTGGACCTAGCTTTCGTGCTACTTGGCACTCGTCAGCAAGGCGTATCTGCAACCTTGAAGGAACTGATGTCCCTTCTGAGATTCGAACCCGCGTCACCCAGTGCTGCAGTCAGAGACGTTACCACTGAGCTATTCAGGCTCGCGACTGACCTCCTGTAGGACTGTAACTAATATGAAGTTGAATGTCACTCACTCAGACAATATGTGAAAATATAATACAGAAATTTTCAGCATCAAAAGGATGACAAATAGCCCATAAAATGCAGCGATTAAAGGGTAGAAAAATTTGTAAAAACTGAAACTGACTAGATATTGTTAAGTTGCGTCGGTGGTTCGCTGGTAGAATGCTTGTCAAGAGCGTGGAGAGTCCAGGCTCAAATCTGAAGTGACACACTTCTAAACCCTGCTTAGTTTACTAGGGGTAAAACATTCGGGCTTGAGGCTAGCGATCGCACTTTGTGAAAGAAAGAAAAGCAACGATAACACTAAAATTTCAACATTTGAAACTTGAAGGAAATGGTAAAAAAATGTTATAAACAAACTTATCTTGAGCGGCTTAGTAAATTCAGTACTGTATATATATATATATACATATATATATAATATATATATATATACATAATATATATATATAGCAGAATCCAGTTTGGAAGATGTGAAAATCAAAAGAATGGATTGTTTAGCCTGGTATGATGTCTAATAATAAGACATTGAAAATGGATTAAGTTCGAATCGACAAGATATTTAGTGTTCAGTTTGTTTTTCCTTCATGCTACACATTTCATGAGAACCATTCTTAATTCTGCGTTAACTTAATATAAATCAGTTAGTATATCAAAGATGTGAAACAGAGCAGTTTGTCTGATGATTTAAAATTAATTTAAGAATCCTTTTAAACTTAAATAATTGTCTTTTTCTCCTTGAATACTGTTTTCTTTTTCAGCTCCATCATGAAATTTGGGCAGCTCGTATGGAACTACAACAAGTTTTATCAGGTTATTCTATAATTCAGGAGAAAGTAGATTCATTGAGCTTATTAACTGATGAATCACTTGTGACAGTTAAGAAAATGATAGAAGCTCAACTAGTAAGTTGTAAAAGCAATATCAGACATGCATGTGTTGAGTATACTTGTCATTATCCTCAAGGCTATACTGAACTCAAACAATTCTATAAGAGCTTAGCAGTCGAGATGGAACCTTCAAAGTGTCTAAATACATTTAGTCTTTTTACATAAGTGAATAAAATATCATAAACAATCAATGTATAGGTACAAATGTTTGAGGAGCATCAACAAGAGATATAGATATTTCATGAATTCATTCAAACAAAACGGCTAAATACATTAGTAATTGAATGTTGATATAAGTGCGTAATAATCAAATAATGCGTGGGCAATTTTAAAAGATGTTTTTAAATAGGAAGATAGAGTTTCTAATAAGTCATTATATATTTTCTCTGATGAATTTGTACAGAGAGGAAGTGGAAGCTCTCACATATCGAATAAAAATTTCAAAGTACACAGTCCGAGTATCAATTTTCTTGTATATATTTGAAATAAGAGGTGCTCGATCACTGACGAATATTTGTTGAGTGATATTTTCGTTTACCAAATTTAATTTAATTTTAGTTTAAAATATACTTTTTATTCTAACAGAACAACTATACAAGAATTTCTGCAAAGTCCAAAGAATTTGTGGAGAAAGCGTGCACAATAACACCAATATTTCTTCGGAACCCACTATCTGACGGTAAACACTCTGCTTGTCTATTGGCATCTTTACGATTGCCCTCTGGAAAATGGATTCATAAAGGAGATAATGTCAAAGTGTGGAGCAGTAGTCCGATTGCATCCAAATTGAATAATGAATGGCATGCTCAAACTAGTAAAGGTGAACAACTGCTTAATGCACCATCAATCTGCTTTTGGCTTACTTCACCAGAACACAGTCCAACAATAAATAAACGAAGTCAGTTAATGTCTAGTGTAACCAAAAAGAACACAGAAGATTTCGATGCATTTCTATCAACAAAAGCTGTCAGTAAACGGTAGGTAGACGTTCATTTTGAATGAAATTATAGGCAGCAGTATAATCTTTCATTGTAACAAGGAATAAATTCATCAAAACAATTCAGTGTAACTAGAGTTATCTGACGAAATTCCTAATTTGAACTAGAGGAAGGTTAGCGTTCACCTTTGAAATTACATTTATTGGCCCGCTGATTAGATGCATTGAGTCAAGCACATATGTTATTCATCACCGGACACACTGTAGTGATTTGGCCTCTGCATTTGTCCCTAAAAGTTACTTAGGTAGGCTTTTGTCTCAGTGTCGATAAAAGGAATTTAGAACAAAGAATACTTCAAAGATGAAAGTGAAATGATTTAACGTCTGCTGGTCTCTAACTGATGACTTCTGGGGATCAATACAACAATTATGAAAAAAACCGAAAAAATACTGATTCAAAAGTGGTTGAAATGAGAAAGCTTGGTGAAAAGAAGATAAACTGAATGGAATTTATGCCCATTTTCATGGTGTTTTTGCAATTTAAAGCTGCTACTTCACTTCCAAATAGGCGTTTAATAGTCTGAGGTATTGATGGGGAAGTGTCCTCTAATGAACATATATGGTTTTGGTTGTACCATACTACTTATTTGTAAAATTTGAAAAAGAAGTATACTGTAAAAGACTCGATGCTATCTGATAAATACGTTTTATGTTTAGTCTCGATTGCATACTTGGTCAGTTGTTTTCTATCGGTAATCTGTTCAATCAGTTACTCATGGATTTCTCAAATCGAAATAAAAACTCCCGGTCAAATTTACTGTCAGTCACTACAAAAATGGCAGTAAACTAGTTCATTTCATTTTTTTATTCACTGAAATCCTATAATCAATCACTTTAGCAAATATTTTCATGAGCACTTTTCATTTAACACCTCTTTTGTTAATTTCAGTTTTCATGAAGATTTATGTAGTTCATGGCGGATAGCTGTCGATTTATTTGCAAATATACTAATACCAACTTGTAAAAATTACCTGAAAACTTTAGAAAATGTCAATGTAAGTTACTGACGATTTAGAATTTTAATCTATTTTTCCCAAATAATTATTACTTTAAAAACATTTATTTCCCGATACGAATTTAAAACAGGCAAGAAAGGTTAAGAAAGCAGGATTTAGTGAATTCATCAGATTTCGGTAGAACTCGTCAACTGAATGCTCTATATATATATATATATTTATATACTATCAGAAATGCATTGGGAGATATAAGATTGATCAGTAAAAAGACTACATTGAATTAATCATGCAAAACGAGATGTGTGAGTGTTTCTCAGGTCTTGTTCAAATAGATAAGGGGAAGGGAGTATGACAGATTAAGATTAAGATAAAATGTATTACGCTTCACTTATTATATTTCTTAGGTAAACAATTAGTTATCAGGGAAAAAACTTAAATATACCGAGAATTGTGAAGTGAGTAATATTAATAGTAATAGTTATAATAATAATAATAATGTTGAAACGAGTTGATATAATGCTACCGATAAAAGGTAGTTTTAAATGAATCAGAAATAATTATAAGAGGTAGAATAAAGTGCTAGTAATATTACTAATAAAACATATACCATGGTAAACTCAGAGTGGCCACCGTTTCCTTTTGTACAATACATTAAAGGAGTGAATAAATAACTAACATGCGTGTCCCACTTATTTATGTTCAGCACAGTTAGTATTTCCAGATTCTGATTTCCAGTAGTGGTCAATACCTGACACTTAATCTAGGTGCATAGAGAGCTGAAGCATAATCTGAAACACTGAACAACAAAAGAAAATAATCGATTGTAGCGATTCAAAACGGAATGTTAACTAGATTATTCAATTATACCCCTACTAATTTATTTTTGATTCATTGCGTTTTTGAAGTTGCACTAGTCGTGTTTTCAGCCTTAAGTCAAACCTTGCGCTTTTTCCAGCTAACTACCGACCTGGAGCGGCTTTTTTTCCTTCATGTTCCTCAGTGGAACATAGGGCTTCAAGCTAGAGGCTTGAAGTTCCTGTAGCAGTGTTTTATTTTTACAGGATGGGGTTGCTAGCCTCATGCCCAACCTTTCCTCTTCACCAGCTTTTATTTCTGGTTTAGCGAGGTAAAGGAGTGCGCTGGCCGGGGATCGAACCCCGGACCATGTGCATGGTCGGCGAGCATCCTAACCGCTATGCCACCGACTCGGCTTAGAACTGCTTTATTCGGTAGTCGAGCCCCGGCATAATTCATGGTTGACTTTTTATCTCCTAGTGTGCATGCACGTCACGATATAATGACTGAAAGCGATAGTAATGATTATCATGCAAAAGAATCGATGTACTACTTCAACTGAATTGTAAGTAGTTGAAACAGACTTAAAATGTAAATGACCATCCATTGGTGTTAAAAGTGATTAGCTGTAGCAGTATTTCATTGCAAAGACTATCGAATTAAAATTCAGATACATTCATTGATACATCTGCCCACTACTGACAGACAGACTTGTTATTTAAAAGATGATACCATCAGTAATGGCTGAATTTTTCACTGTATTGTAAATGGAGTTATTTGAATAATTAGATCAAATAAATGTCTAGTGGATCATTGAAGATGAAAAGGAAATCACAAGAGGGCAAAGTTAAACTTTCGAAACCACTAACAACCAATCAGCAAACGACCTTGAACGGACCAATCACATTAAAGAGGCATTTATTGTAAATGGAAACGTATATTTACAGAAAAAAGCATAAAAAAAGGATAAAACTGTTACAGGGGGTATCTTTCCTGAACATGTGAGAGAAACATCTCCCAGTTAAGCATCGGACTGTCAATGGAAAAATCACACCCCATTCTTTACATATATTCATCTAAATGACTATAAATGAGATCCTTATGAGATCCATTTATAGCCCTTATCCGATTTTTAACCGGCCCCAAAATCCTTCAATAGTATTTGTATGAGTCCTCGTAACTGGATCCACAGAATCACTTGAATGGTTGACTCTGTGATGAATATATCCCAGAGATGACAGGGAATTATAACCTTTCCATTCGTCAGTGTGTATGATTGATCGCCGTTTTACAAGTCTCGTAGTAATTGGTATTAGAGTAGTCGCCTTTCTATCTGCTATTCTTTCAACGAATCTTTTTCGGAGGGAAGTGTCGAATAAACCTATTACCCAAATATTATTCGCTCGTTGGCGACCGCGGTTGTATTTCTTTTTCAGCAACACAGTTTCATCCACGTGCACGACAACGTCTTCTTCGCCCAACAACGAAGTGATCTTCTCCATTTTCCAAGAAGCAATACCTCTGCAATGCTGGTATCATTGAACTGTTGAGACGAGGCTGTTCTCCGTCTCAGCAGCTGTGGCTCTCACTGGCTGTTTCAATACCCAGTAGATGCAGATATACAAAATTTGCGTCAAGGAGAGGTGTGACCTTGCAAAAATAGTTCCTACGATATATTAGAATTATCAGCTTACCCTCTCTAATGCTAACACGCTTCGAGCATCTAGCACAACGATGGACAAATCCATCAGTTGACCTGCTATAGTTTTTTAAAGTCATGATACCACCGCTCCATCCGGAGCAACCCTAAATCCAGGCAATACTGGAAAACACTGTCCTCCTCGAATTGCAATCGTAACCTTGTAAGGGCACGCATTTGAGATGAATCAAGCGCTATACAACATTGAACTACGTTCGTGAATCTCATTGGATAATTCGACGTCGTTCGCTGATTGGTAGTTAGTGGTGATTAAAGTTTAACTTGGCCCACAAGAGACTTCTGAGTTTTTTCACCCAATATTTATTCGGTCAAATATCGCGTACACGTGAATAGCTCAGGAAAAGCGAACACTGAGAATTCTATAAATTAAATTAGTCACAACCTAAAAATGGTAATTCACAAGAGAATAGTGTTTGTCAACTGTAGGTTATGGGACTGGTAAAATCCGAACAGAAAGTGTCATTTTTAAATTGTATTCGTACTAGCTGTAAGAAGGATGACTGTGTTTAGCCATGTACAATCTTCAAAATACGAGTATCTTTATTCCTTACATTTCTCTGCATGGATGCTGACTGATTAACAATAGTACCAAAGACTATCCTACTGGAATGCAATGTATATATTTTGTACATTTCTGTAACTATAGTTTTTTTTTCGCATATTAGAATCAAAATTTCCTTTCCTTTTATTAAACAGCCAATTGTTGTCGAGGATGCTGAAGAATTTAGCAATATTTTAAAACTACTACATCTTCTCTTGGAATATGGCAATGATCCAGCACTAGAAACTGTGAAAGTGTTATCTCTGAATCCTTTGGAAACTGAAGGTAATCGTAAAATACATAAGTACATAAATCATTTTAAATTTCTAACGAGGCTATCTGAAGCTGGGGAGGCGGGGTGCTCATTTCAGTGTAATGAATGATGAAGGTGAAAACAGGATTAGAACTAGTGGTCTGAAAATCGCCAACTAGGTTATCTGTCCACGTTTGAATGAAATTATTCGAGTAATATCTATTCATTCCATGATTAATTTCAAGGTCATTATCAAATACAAACACATGAACGACTTCATTTTGCATGAATGTGATTTCGGGGACTATAAACAGGTTATAACATTATATAGGTTAAAAAAGTCCAATGAAATAGCTTCCTCAAGAAATGGTGGAGAACTGTAACTCCGATTAAAGGTACTGGTTTCGCTGTGTTCCTTGAACTGGATGACATATTTGCGAAGCCTTCATTTCCTTCCTAGACATTTCTAGAAAATCTGCAGAAATAATCAATCACATTCAAGATTACCCAAGAGAGATGGCTAATAAGCTCGTAGAGAATTCTAAAAGCTCACTTCATATTCAGGTCTGAGCTGAAGATGTTTGTCTAGGAAAAAAATGAAAGATTCGCAACTGAAGCAACTAGCTCAAAGAATGCAACTACACAGATACCTTCTTTACCTGTCCACATGACAGTCAGTTATCAGATGGATTCAGAGATTTCACCAATCAAGGGAATAATATGCATGAAATCTCGATAATTATCCATCTTTTTATCACTTGGTAATTAAAGTCTTGAACAAGACAAACCTTAATAATGGGAAAAGTCAATAAAGGTTCATTACTCACTAGTTTACTAGATATATGCAGCCAGTGTTGACAGGAAATACCATTTAAATTTTTAAGTGTACAGCTCAAAACATTCTCATAGGTTAAGATTTCACCTTTAAATAATCAGGATTATAATAAATATCCCCAGTTCTTTCTGTAAATGGTTGCTTACCATACTATGTTTCGTAAAAAACTGCTGCTAGTTAAAGGCCAATTAAAACAGAAACATAAACAATAGCTTCACCTCAGTTTGAAAGTCACTATGAGAATGTAAATGAATCTTTACGGAGGACTGAGTGAAAACTGTAGAGTATCACTAATAAGGAGCAGTTAAATCTAGCTAAAAGAGGTTTGCAGCGGCTTAAACCAGTCTGGACAAATCAACCATTGTGCTGAGGCAGAATACTGACTATAATGCGAGTGGATCAACTTTAAGCCCGGCTTTATACAACCAATTTAACTGGTTACTTGTTAGCTTAAGCTTCTGAGACTGGTAATATTTGTATGTGATCTATTTTTGTACATTAAAAGTCGAATTATTTTCATCGACACAGGCCAGTCTGTCTTTTATCTTCATTATTGTCAGGTAATTGGCGCTGGATCTGGTCTTCAACTGAGTTTTCCAATGTTTTTCAACACTGAACCCACAACTCAGTGATCTAATAATCTCAGCTGATATAATAGTCATGACCACTGCATTATCACTGGACTACTGAGTTCGTACTGAGTGACACCTATTCTACAACTTTTATCGGCTGGTGATGCAGCATTACTTTAATTCAGTTTTAAGCCAACAGTTGTCCTCATGGGCGACTACCTTAATCACACTCCGTTCCAACATTATAGTTGCAGACCTAATTTGGTATATAGAAATGACTGGATGTTAATGAACTATTTCTGACCAGGACAAAACTTTTGTCGAATGATCTCCGTTTTTCATCTATTCTTTAACTGATAATTTTTGTGCAAAAACTGCCGGCCAATCCACTAATCCGTCACAATCACCTTTTTTATGTATTCGTGTATTATCCAGGGGAAATAGTGCACGTGAAGAACGAGGATATTCAGCAACTAACAGAAACACTGGAAGCGTGGAAGGTGAGAATGTGACCTTTATTCCTTTTTAGAGTGAATTTTGTTTGTATTTTCTGTTGTTTGATTGCACCAGGTCAAAATAATCAATCTCTCTTGACATGTCATCATCAAGTACCGTCTATTCTGAAGACTAACATGATCTTATTTGGTTGATTATGGCTAGCAGCAGAATCATAGATGCTTATTTCGTCCTACTTGCGATACTCTCACTGAGACTTGAACCCAGCACCCATAATTTCAAACACCAATACTATATCCCTTAGGCCAGTAAGCCACGAGTCCCAAGTCTCAAATAGGACGAAATGTGCCATCTGGATTCCACTGCTGGCAACCGTCAACCTAATAACAAACCTGAGTTTTAGCCAACTGGGTATTGAACGCTCCTTTCCTTATAGTCAGCATAGCAAGCCTACATCTTCATGTCTGATGTTTACTATATCAGCGGAGTATCATGTTTTCAGGATTAGCGCTTGGACTTTAAGCCAGCGTGCTGAAGTATTTTCATGTTTCTCAATTTAAAGTTGTGCCTGCAGATATCTACGTTCGTTAAAACTAGTCAACAAGTATCACGTGATCCGACTGCTAGCTAATTGTTTTATATCTGTTGGGTTAAACAATGATTAGACAGATGGACGCAGTATTGCTTATAGCCTTAACATTTACTGTTGTTTATCAAATTTACCCCATCTTCCTTCGGTAGCGGTTCCTTCAGTTTTCATAAGATATATTCTGTTGGTTCTTCTGGTTTATGCTGTACACTTACATTAATTGGATTCTGTGACCTAAAGTATATTATGTTAACTGAATTTACTATGTTGTCTGAGACAGTTTATCACGTTTGTGTCCTTTCAGATGTGCTGAGCAAATTCATAGGATAATGCTTGGCTAAGTAGTGTACAGATTTAGTATTGTTCTCATCTCGGTAGTGTCACAATGGTATTGGTTACAGCATTTCATCATGAACTGACATCTGTTAGAGAACCATTGAAAACTAGCCAAGAAGTACTGGACAGCCAGCTGTTTCGTCAGCCTAGTTTGGGACTCTTCATCAGTGCGCACCCACCGGGGCTCGAACCCAGCACCTTCTGGTTACAAGGCAATGAGTAGACCATCAAGCCACTGGGACCCAATCCAATGACCAAAGAATTCTTACTTCTGCCGATTAACGACATAGCGCTACAGTTAGCCAATGTCTTCGGCAAGTATTTTCCTCACACCCCCACCTGCTGCACCACACTGGTCACGAATTCTTACTAGAACCCAGGTAACTACCTACCTGAATAGGGGCAGTCACCAGTGAGAATCTGATTGAAATTCGAGTATTGGTTTATAGGGATTTGATTGATTAGTTATGATGGTGTTGTTGTCAAACGTTGCATGCCGTTTTTTCATTTAAGATGTTGTTTCTGCTGACGTTTGAAGTGTTATCTCCATTTTACCTTCCTCTGAGCATCTGCTGCAGACATCTATGAATGCATTTGTGTTACTTAACTCTGCATAATTTGTGAACCTGATATATTCAGATCTTTGAATATGAAAGCAGATGGTGTTTTAATTTATTCTTGAGTTTTAAAACTTTGTCACTGACTTTAAGAATTAAGTTTAATTATTTGAACATTGGTTACCCTATTATCGCTGCAGCAATCGGTGTATTTCTTTGGTCTGATTTTAAGTCTTTACATTGACATAAAACAGTAGGCTTTGTGTCTAAACGCATATATCAGAAGAAAGAGACCTACCATCTCAAGGAAACTCATTTTGCGCCATGATCCTTTCTTGACTCGCCTGGTGGTGACTTTGTTTTCAAGCTATTGAATGGATAAAAATTAAACATCTTTGAACTAAGACTGTGTAGGAAATTTATTTGTTATATACCACATAACTCGGAATTATTCAGTTCTGAGGGAAGTCTGACTGCATTGAAAAATTATTTTATATGTTGAAACGATAAGAAATGAAACTGTATATGGCGGACATTTTTGAAGATGGGTCCAAACAGGCTTGTTAGTCATTATTAATATTCTGAACTATTTCATAATGCTTTCAATAGGGGTATCACCTTTTCAGAAGACTGTGTGATATATGAAGTTGAGATGGAGGTGACATAACAATGAATCAAAACATTTGTACTTCAGTGTTACTTTTGTAAATAAATTTAGACTACTTATTAGTAATATGAATAAGACGGAAATTTAAACAGAGTATCTGTTCTGAACTCCTCAAGTCTTATTGCTTATTGACAGAGTTTACTTAACCTTGATATAAGAATAGAATTGCGTCACTGTGGTAGTTCATAATTCTGTAATAGAGTAATTTTATTTGATTCAACAGTTGGGCATTAGGAATAAAGGAACTAACACCAATATTAAGGATACGGAAAATGTTATTACCAAAAAAATAAGAGGATAGGAAATAATACAGTCTTATCAACAAAATCGTGAACTTATGCGAGCACCCTGACATGATTATCATCAATAAGTTGTGCTAGCGACTTTTTCAGTAACCCAAACAATACTTCAACACTGCGTGTTTTTGTCAGATAAAATTATTTAAATATGGAATTTATCTTGTTGAGTTTATATAATGTAGACATATGTAGGTATTAATAGTGGAAGTGTTTATTTACAACTACTGTTGAGCAAATAAATAGATAACCAGCAATTAGCTGTGGACTAAGGGTGTCGAACAGTGAGTGGAAAGCCGTAGTTGTGGTTCAGACAAGATTTGTTTGATATAATATTTCGGGAAATACAGCATTTGAAATTCTGTCAATAGAATCCAGAGGAAACTTGGGAATTCAGGAAATGCTAATGCACTCGTACTTTCGAATTATAGTCTTTCTAAGTAGTCATACAGTTTTATTAACTAATCATTTGGCGATAAACGATATAACTTCAAGGTTCGTGTTGGTGATCAAACTCTGTTGGTGATTTGTGAAGTGAGGCTGAAATACTGAGAGAGAATAGCCTGCTTTACTATTTGGTTGTAAATACTCAGAGGGAATTAACAGAAGGTAAAAAATGACGTATTTATCACATATTTTACTGTCCATCAAAGAGTTGTTATCTGCTAATTTAAAAGGTTCTATATTCTTTCTGTATATATATATGACTATAAAGAATGACATGTGAAAAGCGTCCACTAAAAATTCATTTAGTAGGAAAAGATATAGAATTCTCTAACTAGTATCTATATTAATGATATCCTCTTTCAGACTTTATTGAAGAAATTGGATGAAGCAGAGGGAAAAATGGATGAAAATGAAGCTAGTGAACATTCTGGTGTGAATGCAGACGTTGAAAGTTCAGAAATAAATTTTTTGTGAGTTTTGCACTTCATAAATATTGTGGATATACTATCACATCACAAACTTTTGATTCCTTCCGCTGAATGGAGTAAAGCTTTGTCAGACTTTCAATTTTTACTAGCCATGGGGTTGTTTTTACATGGTTGTTACTCCCTGTCTTTTTCGGACCTGGCTAGGCGAGGTTGGCTCGGGATTGAACCCGTAACTCCAACGTGGCTGGTGATTATTCTGTCCTTGACCCACAGATGTACTATTATATTATAGACGAATACTAACCACTATCATTGGGAGAAATATAAAAACATTCATCTTTCACTTAACTTACCTGTATCATTTCAGCCACACGCAGCACTGATTGGGATGTAAAATACAGGATCGAGGTATAAATATCTACCTCGGTCAGCATAAGCAATGATACCTGAGATTTTGACAGTGATGTCAAGTCAGTCTTTCTGTTTGGTTTAAAGACTTAACATGTCAAAACAGCATTCTCAATAGGTTTCAAACTTATATTGACAATTGCCAGTGTCATCTTGATGCTTAAAATCAGATAGCCACCCAGAAAGAATAAGTAACAAGAAAATCTGGAGGCAGATCACCCAAGAAGCTGTTGTACAGGCAACAAATATGCCAAAATAAATAGGGATGGAGTGAAGATGAGCTGAAGAGACTGTTGAATAACATCATTTGGCAGGTCCTAGAGTGGAATACGAACGGGAAGTCACGTGCTTGGTGTTGATCCGAGGATGAAATGGATGACATCGTGTGAAGAAGAACTGGAATGTTATTACTGGTAATCACGGAGCCAGATAATAAATGACTGTAGGGAATAAAATGAAATTGTAATTTGTTGTTGAGGTCCTATGTTCTACCAGGAGCCCAAATGATGAATAATATTAGTTAGCACAAAAATGACGCCGAAATATACCCTGGATTTTTTCCATCACGAGGTTGAAGATGTTTTCTGTTCTTGCAGACTTTTCGTCTTATAAGTATAAAATCTAATGTTTATTTTTTCCTACTTTCACCTGAAGATGAGAGTACAGAAAACTGTAAATGAAAAAAAATGAAATTGTGAAATGAAGGCAACTTATTCAGTGTTGATTAAGATGACTTTTAACTCAAAAGTTTGATTAAACGCCCACAGTCAATCTGCTTGAAACAATCGAGTTTGGTAAACACAATTAGAGTGTCATGTAATAAAATTCTTTTCCATTTACTTGAAAGAGAAATATTCATAAGCTTTGTTGAAGTCAAGTATGTGGGATATCAAAATTATTATTGTCTTAGGTTCCAAGTGGAACACAGGGCTTCAACAGCACATCTCCATTAAACCGTGTTTTCTGAAGTCCTCTTCATCTGGCTCCACTATTGTCCACATGCTTTCATTTCATCATTAGACGATACCCTCCGTGTCACTCTGAGACGCATGCCCAACCCATCGTATACCATTCAGGCCGCACTCGAGTGTCTGAAGCGCTATGTCTCTGAGCAGTACCCTTGGTGTATGTCCGACCCATCACCTCTGCATTTGTCACATCTGTTGAGTGGTATGTTCTTGGGTGGTTCATCTCCAGAATTCTCCGTTGCTAATCCTTTAGGTCAGCCATCTGATTGTCAGTATGGAGCCAGGGAAGGCGTCTGCCGATAAAAGTCTGAAGCCTGTTCTAAATATTTCCGGTTACTCGCTAAATCAATGAAGCATACAGAAGTCGTCAGTGAATTGGCATTAGTGTTGAATATCCAGATGTTGTTCCTTCTGCCTAGTGCAGTAGATTTATGCACTGATTTCAGAGTGGTGACGTTTTGTCTGGCCTTTCCGATCCACTCTTTGACATCGTCATCCGTTTCGCCTGTAGTTGAAATAGTGCTGATTAGGTGAGTGAGAGAGATGACTTTCATCGAATTTCTCCCAATAGGCAGTGACTGGTGGTTGTTTTTGTTGTTGTTGTTTTGGCTTGTCGTGATATGCTAAATACAAATTTTAGTAATTTGTGAATATTCAATTGCTATTAGCAAATTCGGCTGAATTCTAAATATCTGTAAGTGTATGAACGTTTCTGAAATACTTCAATCATCTGTAAGTGATACGAGATAAGATGTGCAAATAGATTGACCTTAGAGTCCTTCAGTTGTACATCTACTGTATTACCAACTGGAAATGTATTCAAAGTTATGTACCTTTCAAACGTTTCTCAGTATCAATAGTGCTCGAATATATAACCATAAAGTCCAGTTAGACAATTAAACAGGGAAATAAATTATTGTGTTTTTTTTCTTATCTTAGGCCTTTACAACAAGATAGTAATGTGAAGAAATCAGAAAAGATAAATAAATATCCCACAACGAATTCATCAGAAATAAAAGATGGATATGAAGATAAAGAGCTGGTGACAAGTTTTAACGATAATGTGCCGAAAACTTTTAAATTGAATAGAGACAGTTCTACATGCGAAGAGTATGCAGAACTCCCCATAAAAGACTCACTGCATTATCATACCACCCAGAAACCGTCAACAAATCAATCCAAATTGAATAAGGAGAAAAGAGAACTTATGACACAAATTGATACACCATTTCATTCTGCTGTTGTCTATTGCCCAACCTGTTCTGAGTTTCATGAAATAAGTATATTGTCACCTTTTATTTGTAATACAGAATCAAATTATTCATGTTTCAATTCATACAGTGGAGTCAGCGATGCTTTAGATGGTCATATGAAGCCTGCGCAATCAATGCCAAGTCTACTCTTGGAAACGGGGAATGTCGGTTTTGATGAGTGTAAAATTGCAAACAGTGAAAATAAGAGAGGAAATGAAATACGAAAGTTTTTAAAATCGAAGGTTCGAAATAAATCACGACCACATAGTGCAAGTGCTAGCCTTACTGAAACTACAGCAAGTTCTGGTCTTGACAGTCCTTCAGAATCCTCCATTATTATAAAAGACGAAAAGGAGTCTAGAGGAAATCGGCATGCTGCACACACCAGGACTCAAGAAAAACCAAAGAGTAAAAGCTCTTTCCTGTGGTGGTATAAACGTAGCAAAAGCAAATCAAACGAGTTCGGTCCGCAAACGCCAGGCAGTCCGTACACCGAACCAGGACCCCCTGGAAGAAGATCTCCACTGAATATTATCCCAGGTGAATCAACACGAAGCTCACTTCATCAATCACCTAATTCTTTAATACCAGCGGATAAATTTCAAATGAATCCAAACGAAGACACTGATCCAGTAATACGATCATACAGTTGGGTACAACAGGGTATGCCACTGGGTTATGGCCCCCCTTTTAACACTAATTGGTGGCCCGCGTCACACTCTTCTCCCCAGGGACTTCATCCAAAAAACAAACACGTAAATGTTCGTAGTGAGAGAATTAAAACGAAACCAAGGAAACTAATCAGGAAGCATTCATTCGAAAAATACGCTGATCGCTATTTACCTAGTGAAAGCCATATATACAATACTATCGATTCAGGTATTCAGACTGATACCGACATATGTACTACTGGAAATTTAGATACAACTGTATTGGATTCAGCATCAGATATCCAGCAGGCTTCCACGAATGCAGAAGATTTCTGTCAGTATTGCGATAGAAGGATACACAAAGTTTCCTATGAAAATAATTCTGTTCAGTGTGACTTTGTTAGCAGTGATGTATTGGGCAAAAGTTCTAAGCATGCAGTGACTTCATCGTCTAGCCAGACTGATCTACAAGATCACGAAACTCTTCGTAATGAATTTAAAAAGAATAGCATAAAAGTATGGAATGTAAGTTGCCAGGTGGGCACAGTGAAAAGAAATCAAAGCACTGAACCAATAGAAATTGGAGAGTCTCTTAGTCCTGCAGTCAATAGTCACATCAATGAAAGTGAAAAAAGTGAGGATGTACGACGATATGCGAAGTACAATGAAAGACCAAAAAGTTTTGAAAGTCCTACAAGGCGACTAACACAGTTAACTCTTAGTTATGGAGCAAGACCAGTAGATCCATTAAGATTTTCTGTATCATGTCAAATAGGTACTTCTTTCAAAACTGCTGTTAACAATGCAGAACTTTCAAATGATACAAGGGGTGAAGCTAGAAAAAACGGAACGATATGTCATAGTCATATGTGTGACGCATCGTCATTTGAAACTACATCGCCAATGATGGTAGGCAAAAAGTTTCAGGTGAATTTGCCTTCAGCAGTTCAGTACGAAGATGTCGCCACACAAATTGAAGTGAAAGAGACAACAGTGAATAATTTAAATGTTGCCTATGGTAAAAACAATGCCCAAAGCAACCTGGTAGATGCACAGTCTACTTTCATATCACCTGACTTAAAAATTCCTAGCAAATTTAGAAACAACTTGGTAAAAGCAACTGACTGTCGTGGATTGGTGATGCTAAATGAAACCAGTACACAAATCGGCTTAACCAACAAAAAATTATATCACAATCAGAAAGATAGCTCATCGCAAACTGATTTACCGTACATTTATGTGACCGAAATAAAGTCTACATCTAATTCAAACGTGGATCCAAACAAAACAAGTGAAAAATACATAAAAGAGATTTATAAATACCCATATGGTCGTACAGTTGAGCAGACAATTCCACAGCCTGCAACTACAGATAACTTGAGTACACGAAGTGATCATGTGAAATTTATTACTCACTCTGAACCACTATTTGGAAGTCCATCTGGTACAACATATCAAAGCAGATCAGTAGATTATCAAACTGACTCACTAACAAACACTCAAATGAAACAAGTTTCTACGCCCATACTGACTACAAAGAAGGAGATTCGGAGTAGGACAGATGACAGTCTACCTCCACGTCGAATGACAAGCACACTAAGCAAACAAAAAGTTCGAAGGAATCTGACAGAAATCCCTTTCAAAACCAAACCCACCAACAGACGGGCTACTTCAATATGTGGAGATTTAGTCATGAATATAGAATTACACGGTGCAACGTGCAAACGTTCTATACACGAATTTGATTATCTGTATACTTCAAAAAACCTATGTGATCATAGATTTTTAAATTCAGTTTCATCGTCATCTTCATCTTACGAAGACATTGATGATTTATGCGAACAGTGCCGTTTAAAATATTATAAACCAGTGCAAATGAATATTGCAATGAGACCTGTTCATGCTTGTTACAATAAGCCCAGGAAATTAAACAGCCACTTTAAGTCTCAACATACTAATTCTTCGAAGAATACTCATCGATATCTTACAAAAAGAAGTTTTTCAGCTGATAACATAGAAGTAAACGAACAGAAAGGAGATATTATCAAGTCAGTCACTGTCAAATGTCCTAATAAATAATTGTTATACATTGAAAACGCTACCTGCAAAATGGTGTGCACGCAATTCAAAATTACACAATATTAATTCAACTTTATTGAACGAAACGAGGTACAAATCAAATAAAAAGTAAATGTTACTATGCTTTACTTAACAATGAAAAGCGTTTTCTTCACTTCTGATTAAACATTTTTTGTTGTTGTGTTGCAACATTTTCCACTGGCATTTTCTTCTCTTCCATAATTAATTCACTTACAAATAACCTTTAATGATATAATATACATGCTAGTTCATAAAACTGACGTTTTCCAACTGTCTGATTTTGGTACTTAGCCGGCACAATTAGATACACTCATAGTTCATCAAGGACATGAACAGCTATTTAAAAGAAATTAATCTATGTGTAAGCTTGTATTGAGCTATGTTTTGAGTTTTTATCAAGTTATTCAATTAGCCACAAACACATTCTGTGCCCAAATGATAGCCTTTCAGTTCTAATCGGATTATTAGTAGGAAATGTAATCTTCCTCACTGAAACGATTCCCCTCCTCTCAGAATCCTTATTCATTGTGCCTCCGTTTAGAAATGTTATTGGTTTCCTACAGAGAGCTTAAGGGGAAAAGTGCATACCACGAGAACGAAGTTTTTCTTTCATAGCAATTGAGAATATTTAAGATTATGCACAAATAAACGACAAGGGCTTGTATCTTTTCACGTGTTCTGTAGTCAGTGGAATTGTCTGGTCAAAACTGTCAATTGAATTAAATGATAAAATTTAACAATTCATTGTGGAAAATATCTATGGACATATGAGTACTTTTCGTCTGCCTACACATCAGTCTATGTAAACCAGTTTAACAGTTTGTTTTGTTTCAAATTCTAAGCCTACAAATGCATAGTTTCTAAAAAGAATAAACTTCATTTTCAAAATGAACGCCTTGTGAATTACTGATTCATGTGAATAAATTTTATCAGTCGACAAAGGATACTTTTGTTTGAACACTAGGCAGTAACTAGTGTAATGTGTCTAGTCCTATCTTCGGTAGAGACTGAATTCTGTCAGTCATGTTTGCAATGTGGCCACCATGCTAGGTGGCTCGCCATCACTGTGCAGTGTGAATTGTTGGTATTAGACACACTACACTAGTTACTGATTAGGGTCTAATAAAAAATATCCAATACAGCACTACAGAATGTCAATCACAAACCCGAATAGATCGGAGGTAACGTCTCTGACTGCATCACTGAGTGACGCGGGTCCGAATTTCACAAGTGACATGAATTCCGTCAAGGCTGCAGATAATAATAATATGCTTTATTCCAAAACAGTACTTGTGATACAGAATGGAATTCTCAGCATTTTACTACAGTGTTGCATCCAGTTAGTACATTATCAATAATTAAAATTTTACATAGATTAAGGTAATCTCAGTTCATTATGACAACAAAATATTGGCATGTCGGTAGCAAAGCCAAAATTGAACAGTGTTTGAAGGTGTTAGAAAAGTAGACGCTAGCATATTTACTGGCGTAAGCGGTAACAAAAGGTCGAGATATACAGAGTGTGAAAGAACGAAGAAGAATGTTTTAATAGAGTTTGTAAGGAAGAAAGAAACAAAGCAGCACATAACAGAAAAAAAGAGAAAAGGAAAAGAAAGAAAACGTTGTACCTATAAATGATATGAGATAGGCCTTGCTAACTGGTGAGTGCCAACTAGCACGAAACATAAGTCCAAGGCTCCCTGCCTCCAAGCATCTAATACTGATAAGTGATATGTCATCACTATAACTACGATGGTCATAATAAAGACTTTGCTTGTTGAAGAAACTTAACAGCTCTCCATATCCATTTCGGCCATGGAAGATTTTTAATGGATAGTGAGAATTTTGCGCTGGTTTTCAGTGAATTTTCATAGATCAGAATCGTTCAACTGAGATTTTGGCATAGTAATTTATTTTGATGATCAAATTTTGTCATACATGTTGAGCATGCCTGTTGCATCAATAGTCTGGGTAATACTTCAGGGTTATTATCCTACTTGTACTTATTCAATCCCCAAAGTAATTCATGCATCTAAAACAATTAGTCCCTTTTATAAATTTGTAGTGTTATTAGAAGATGGAGATTATCTGAATAATAATGTAATGTATTTGAGCAATACATTTCGAACAGTCTGATCCCTCACACATTTACCAGTCAAGTCAATTTATATTGAAAAAATAGAAGGCAATTAAAGTACACATAGTGACAAGAGGGATTTAAGAATAATGAGAATAATTAACAAAGATCTTGTTATTCAAACATTATCTGGATAAGGATTACCAAGGTAGGTTATGAGTAATAATGAGTTGTTTTCGAACACACAGGTGTGGGAGACTTAAGTGTAGCCATAGCCTCGGCGTATTTCAATAAGCGACCTCTAAAGCTGTGTTAACACCATTCTTATCGTTCGTATCAATTGATGTTAACACAGCTTTAGAGGTGATCCAGAAAATTGGTCGAGGGCGCTTATTGAAATACGCCGAGGCTATAGCTAGCTATTCATGCACTTAAGTCTCCCACCCCTGTGTCTTCGAAAACAATTCATTATTGCTCACTATAAATCACTTAAAATAATCCCAGTGTGTTTAACAAAAATCAAAACAAGATCTTTGTGAACGTTTCGCTGTGTAAGCCACAGCTTCTCTAGCAGAATTATTTATTCGTATTACTATTAATCTTATTATTCGTTGAGTTCCTAGTGGAACATAGGGCTTCAACACCGGATCCCCACTTTGTCCTAACTTCTGCCGTCCTCTTCAGCTTGGACCACGATTGCCCACAATCTCTCATCTCCTCCTCACACGATCTCCTCCATGTCACCCTCGCACCGACGACTCACTTGTCGCTCCCCATTGCAACCTCTCTTTCTTTTCAGTTGAATATTCCTGTCATGACCCAGCACTAGGTGATTGGCTGCCCCTGGCGACATCATTATAACCACTCACTACCTCAGTGTGCTCGTGGTTGTCGTCTGGGTGACCAGACTGGAGTAGATCACTGACTCTCCAGTTGACATTTTCGACAATCCATATCCATTAATTCAGCTTTCGCAGATACCCAGCACTTGTATGCCATACCTTCGCATTTCCTTGGCTACCTGGGCAGCCTTGTCAGCCAGTCTCGTACATTGCACGGACATTCCACGTCCCCATTCTTATTCTTGCTTTCATCAAGAGAAGACACAACGGCTGAGTGGCTTCCCGAAGGCTTTCGCCAGTCCGCTGCGTCATTTCGCCCCTCCGATTCCAGCGAAGAATTAGATCGTCCTTTGAGTTTTTTGTATTCTTAATATATATCTCTGGCGGTTTGATAGGTTTAGTGGTGTGAGATTGCTAGCCCTACGCCCAACCCTCCCTCTTAACCCCGGCTTGAGACCGGCTAGAAAACTAGCAAGTTAGTTAACTAGGCGACGTTTTTAGCAGAACTATTCAGATTTTAATAACCGTCAAAAAATGCATAAATTGATCGTAAATGGTTATCCGAAAAAGCTGCCAAATAATATTATCAATAAACAGGACCAGAAGAGAAAACAGAAGATTGAAAAATCTTGCCTACCAATGACGGCCATTCCATATCAAAAGGAGTTAGGTAAACAACTTCAAAGAGCACCTGCTTCGTATAATATTAAAGTCTATTTCAAGCCCTCTAATTTCGTAGAGGAAGCGTTGCTGAATATCAAATATATGGTTCCCAAAACGATAAAAAACCACCGTGTCTACAAGATAAAGTGTTCAGAATGTGAAGCATGCTATACAGGGGAGAGCAGTAGACAGGTGAAGGTCAGAGTGAATGAACATAGGCTGTGAACGAAACGTCCACCTAGAAATGAAGTAGAATTAAAAGTTTAGAATATGGATCACCTGTAGCGATGCATGCTACAGACACCGGACATGAGATTGATTTTGACTATGTTGGGATTCTAGGAAGAGGCTTTCATTCACATAAGGAAAGGCTGACCTATGAAGCATTGTATATTTTGACCACATCGGATGCAGTAAATAAGAGAGAAGGGAGAAGAGACTTTTCACCTAAATGGCAGACTCCAATGAAGCGAAACAGATGAGAGAAAAAGACTGAATCCTGTATTTTGACCACTGTGAAATTTTATCATGCTTTCACGTGTTTCCCATACAACAAACAACATACACTCACACACACCCTCACACAGACAAATATGCATATGAGCCGATTTGACACCAGTCATTACAAATATGTGATGACAGTTTACATTGTTCAATTGATACAAATATCTACTGACAAGTGACCTTCAAGGGGACTGACTTCAGTTAATGTAACTCTTGACTATATATTTTGATGATTAATAAAATCCGAATAATTTTGCTACTGAAGAAGCTGTGACTTACACAGTGAAACGTCCAGAAAGATCTTGTTTTGATTTTATGCTTAAACACGCTGAGATTATTTTAAAAATAATTCATATTGAAATATGTTATTTGTATTCTTCTATAATTATTGTAATTTCAAACAGTCTGTAACAGTTGATGAAACCCGGTGAAATACAATGATATCGTGGCGTAGTGTAGATGGATAGGTAAACGGCTGAAACCTGAAATCAACATTTTAAGGCAATAGTTGTAAAGGCATTAGTGTTTATTCCTCAATTCTGGATTTAGTTTATAACGTGAACATGAAATAATCACCTCATTGGACAACTTGTTTAACCTTGAGCTTATTACCAACCAATCAGTACAATTTATTCTCCTTCGAATTAGTCGAACTCTAATGTGTCTAGGAATGTATATAAAAATATTTTTTCGTTGATAAATGTCTGTTACCAAATCTTGTATCTTCGCGTGTTACAGTGTCATTTCATACTGCAGAGTTGGTCTTTCTTTCTCAATTGAAATAAGTCATATTCTTTCTTATTCCCCTATGTGATTTTGTCAGGACAAATTTCCTTCTTACACGATATAGTTTCTTGAAGGCATAAACCGTATGTATTATAGGGTAAATTTAT